AAAAAAAAAAAAAGAAAGAAAGAAAGAAAGAAGAAAGAAAACTAAATATATGTTGTAGAAAACACGGACAGGATGATCAGTTAAATTTTTTTTCCAAATTAAAACATATTTACTTAATTAGGCAGCACTATGAATAAACCCAAGGGTTTGGTAAAAACTAGACAAGCATGCTACTACAAATCTCCCCACTTCCTAGGATTTTTTATATTATAGTAAAATTCTTAAGATGAAGTGGCATACAAATAAAAGATTTAAGCACAAAAAGAAAACAAGAAGTTCCAGCTGTTAAAGGCTGTAAACATAAAACTTGTACCAAAAATGTCATCAGATTACAATATTAGTGCTTTTTAATAAAAAGGATGATGTTTAGTAAGTCATAATCTCTCCAATTTATCAGGCATATTTAAAAGTGATAATCTGTTTTTAAAACATGATTATATGCAAATTATACTGTCAACTACTGAAGCTTACTACAAAGAAATTGTTATGACAAGATTACAATTTGTGAAGGGTCATAAAATTCTTTTAAGGAGTAAGTGAACAAAAAAAAGTTTATTTAATAATGGAAAGTCTCTACTAGTGAAACAAATACTTCCTCACACCAAATAAAAACGTGTTAAGTGTAAATGAAATACTTGTGCACAAACTCCTGCACACACAACAAACCTGTTGAAAACACTTGGTGTAGGACTGTGATCACGCTCCCTCTCTCTCTCTCTGGTGCGTTCTCTTTCTCTGTCCCGATCCCGATCTCGCTCTCTGTCTCGGTCTCTATCTCTATCTCGGTCTTTCTCTCTTCTTGCATAGTAGTCCCACTGCTTGGTGGTGTCCACAAGACTTGGCCATGAAGGAGCAGAACCAGTGAGATGGGGGAAGGCAACTAAAGAAAAAAATAATAATAATTAAAAACAAATGTTACAGTACTTGAAAAACAAAGGCAAAAAAGAAAAACATAAAACTTGTACTAAAATGTCATCAGATTACAATAGAAATGCATTTTGTAAACAGAAAATTGCAGTATCACATAGTAAATACATGTAACACTGATGGAAGATCCATCAGTAAGTCTCAAAGACCTAGTAGTCTTAAAGAACCTTCACTTGGCAACATAAACAGGAATCAAAACTCAGGGCATAAACTTCCCAACCTCAAAAAGAAAAAAGAATCCTGCATGCCACGATGCGTGGGTGCCGGCCTTGCCCCCCAGCACACTGAGCCATTCACCAAGTCCAGGAGTGGTGGCGCATGCCTATAATCCCAATGCTGGGGAGACTGAAAACAGGAGGATCACTATGAGTCTGAGCTGTATAGTGAGACCGTGTACCAAATACATAAAATTGGGGGAAAAAAACCAAAACAAAATAAAACAGAATACATCAGGATATATCTACTGTTCAAAGAAAATATCAAGCTAGAAAAATATACCCCAAAATCATATTTTAAGAATAAAATGAAGTCGTACATAAAAACGGCAAAATGTATAACCATACACTTTCTTTTTTTTTTTTAACCATACACTTTCCCACAAAAATATGTACTATTAAATACCTCCGAGGAAAAAAAAAGGAAAACTACTCCGTAACAAAGATCCAAGTGGATGGAGAAAAAGAAAAAAAGATCTAACATGAAAGGAATGAATGGTTCAATAACATGGTAATTACACATGCAAACCTGAACAAATATTCTAATAGAGATTTTTTAAAGAATAAACTTAATCACAATACAAGTTAGAAGACAACAATTAAACTGTTCTAAAGTCTCTGTTCATGAAGGTTGATTTAATTTACGATATATTGATATATAATACAAGTAAAAGTAATCAATAAAAATGGAAAAAATGTAGAATTTCAAAAGACTGAAAAAGAAAATTGAATTTTAAAAGTCAATTCAAAATGATTTAAAAAGGGTGAGAGTGGGAAGACAGATTCAAATAGTCTATGATAAAGGGGATTAGTTGATCAGTTAAAGCAAAGACTTCATTTTTACTTGTAAAAAAGTCTATGTTCTGAAGATATGAAAACACAGGTTGAAAAAAAAAGGATGGAAAAGGATGAAAAAGAAAACAGTAACATCCTCAAGGTCTGCACATGAACAGCTGTATTAATCACAAAGCAGATTCATACAAAAAGCATTAACTACAGAAAAAAAGATAACGCTACTGGGCATCTAACAACAGTGCCTTCAATTTTAGAGTGGACACTGCTGAAAACAGAGACAGAAATAGGAAAACCTACCACAATCATGGGAGATAATATTCTTGGTCAATAACATTAAATAAGCAGAAAAAAACAACCCAGTTGCAGATACAAAAGTTCTGAGCAATTTAGTGCCAACAAGGTTAATTAAATGAGTATAACATGGAACACTGCCCACAGCACAAAGTTCTCATTCTTCTCAAGCTACTGTGAAACTTTCATAAAACACATGCACACTTGAAAGGAGCACGTATAAGACATCACACTCTCTAGATTTCATATATTCAATGTTGAAGTCAAACTTAAAAGGGTACAGAAAATAATTCTCATTTACTTCAAAATAAAAGCACATTTTTTATAAAATCCAGGGTCCAAAAAATCATAAATGTCAATCACTCAGAACCAAACATAAAGGCTGGGGATATAATTCAGTGGCACAGCACCTGCCTGGCAAGTATAAGGTCCTAAGTTTGATTTCCAGTACTAAAAGAGGGGAGGGGAGGGAAGAGAAGGGGAAGGGGAAGGGGAGGGAGGAGCAAATATGAGATAAGAGACACTCAAAAGTTGAGGCATGTTAAGCAATCTAAAGAGAAATAAAGTCTTGTAATACTATATTGGAAATGACTAAAAATTAATAGCTTCCAACTTAAGAACTTAATACCAAACCAAAAATGGACAACTGAACACTACAAAGACCAAACAATAAAGAAAATATACACTTTGTACCACTGTACTTTAAAAGTTAGCTGAAATGGTTAAATTCCTACAAAAACCAAAACTTTACCAAACAAAAGTATCTTAAGAATTCAAGAGTCTCAGCACTATAAAGATATTAAGTCTATAACTTAAAATATTCCTACAAGGCCAGGTGGCTTTATAGATCAGCTCTAATAATTTAAACAAACAGATCATTGAAATATTACCCTAACTTCTAAAAAACAGAATAGTTAATTTGTTAAGTGTCCCAAGGGCTTGTGTAAGCCTGCTACCAAAATTAGCATACAAGAGAGTATACTAGTATACTCTATAAGGGGAAATCATTACTGTTAAATGGAGGTAATCAATCATGACCAAGTTAGGTTATCTCAGTAATAACAGTATGTTAATAACAGGAAAATGTAGACCATCTAATTTTTCTCTTTAACAGAGCAGAGAAAAAACCGAATTATAATAATCTCCAAAATCATCAGATAAAACTCAGTATCTATTCACAGCTCAAAAGCCCTTGGAAAAGAAAATTGGAGGGGGAAAAAAAAGAATTTCCTTAAATCTAACGTATGGTTAAGATCTAATAGTGAAAATCTATAAGCATTTCCTAAAAAAACAGAAAAGGTAAAGTAAGATGACCAGGTTTCCACTTTCAATACTTCAACAAAGAAAACAAAACAAAAAGCCACAAAAAGAGAGTCAAGGGAAAAGCAAAAATCTGAAAACAAATGAGCAAGATTATGTGAAGGTAATGTTCTTTGAATAGACTTAACAGAAACAGCGAGAGGTCAGCAAGGAAATGGCTACAAGAGCAATGTAAAAATATAACAAATCATATCTCTAGATACAAGAAATATAAAATAGAACATGTAGTTCCAATGTTTAAGTGAATATACTATTTACAACAAAAACAAAATTGTATTAAGATACCTGAGCCCTTAATCTAATAGGAAGCCAGGCAACAGTCAAGAAGTACATGGAAATAATCAGTCATTTACTGAAATACATAAAAAAAAAATCTCTGCACGTTCACTTACAGACTCTGTTCTTTGGTAATAAATGCCACAAAAATACTGACATAGAGTATCAATGTAATTCTAATATATATAACAGGCTCTGGAAGCCAGTCTCCAGGGTCTTAAATCCTGATCACTATTTGTTGTGTGGGACTACTGAAATTTAAATTGATTATTCAATTTCCTCATACATACAATGGAGATAATGACAATATTACCTACTTTAAAAGGTTGTCAGGGTTACAACAGCACACAAACAAATCTACTGCTCTTTGTTGAAGATGGCATATAAGCCAGATTTCCCGAATCAGCTGAGAACTACTTGTTTCCTGGGTATCTCTCTTGTCATAGGAGGTACACATTAATAAATTTATTTTTCTCTTGTTAATCTGTGTTTTGTTAACAGGGTCCATCCTAAGAACTACATAGAGAAAAAATTATTTTTCATTCCCTTACTTGTGTCACTGCTTCTAAACTGTTCTTTCTCCTTTGTACATATCCTACGATTTCATTAAACAGGGAAAACTGAGCTTTTCCAAAGTAAATCTAGTAGTTTAACAACTCAGCATAAAATTAGCTCTGCACAGTTCTCTGAGAAAGGCAAACTCCATAGCACAGATACATAGGCACATCCAGTTTTACTGTATTCCACTTTAGTATGCTTCAAAGGCAACTTTAAAAAAAAAATAAACTGAAGATTTATGGCACCCTTTGTCAAGTAAGCAGTATTTTTCCAACAGCACGTGCTCACTTGGTGTCTCTCCGTCATATCTTCATAATTCTCACAGTATTTCAAGTTATTCATTATTATTATATCTCTTATTATATCTCTGTGACCAGTGGTCTTCGATGTTACTAGGTAACTGTTTTAGGATGCCACAAACTATGACTAATATTATAAAATATAAAATTTAATTGACAAATGTACATGCTGTGTCTGATCTACCCACTGACCTTCCCAACTTGCTCTTTCTTCCTCAAACCTCCCTATTTCCTGGAACACAACAATACTGAAAATGAGGCAAATTAATAATCCTTATTTGGCTTGGTAAGTATGCAAGCAAAGGGAAGACTCACACAACGAAAGCGTTACCAGAAGTCCTTGGCATAAAGAAAAGTTATTAAAAATGAACATGAGGGGGCTGGGGAGGTAGCTGAGTAGAATAAGCACTTCCCTGGCAAGCTGAAGGATCTGAGTTCAATCCCCGGTTCCAGAAAAAAAAAAAAAAAAACGAACATGAAAGAAGGACTACAAATGAGCTAGAAGAAAGATTCAACTAGGGCAGAGAAAAACAAAAGCAGGTTAGTTGGATTCCATAATTATATGGACCCTGAAGACTGAGCCAAATCCTACATCCTTTTAGGAAAAAGCAATGTATAAATATCTATTGTGCCATTCATTAAGTTTTAAAAAAGTATAAATGATAATTCTCCTGTTAGGTAACTGACAAGATTTATACACCCAATTATTCTTTCAGTTAATACCTTTAGTTACTCTACAAATGCTACCTTAAACCATGTTTAAAACATGTTGGGGGGGGGGACACATGTTCCTATTGTTTTAAAAACAGTTAAGTATTTTAATGATTGAATCCAGGCAACTAATTATGAATCTGAATCGTAGTAGCTAGTAACTTACCATTGCCATATGGAAATGCACGTGCAGAACGACTATCATAACCAGAGGAATGTCCACTGTTGAAGGGAAAAATGTATTTATGTGTCTGCTGCAAATACATTTTAAAAGTTTAATCATTTGCTACAGATGAAAAAACAGCTAGACAAAATTACGACTTTTTTGCTAGGTTGCCTAGGGGAGCCCTAAAATCCTGGGCTTAAGTAATCCTCCCATCTCAGCCTTCTGTATACAGGACTATAAGTATATACTCCAGAGCCCAGCAAAATTGTAACTTTTATTCAACCACCATTTAATGATAAACCTTAATTCTATATTTTTAAACACAAAACTAGTTTTTTTAACTTCAAAAGCGTTAAATTTAACACCTAATTTTAAAGAAAAATGTAGCCTGCTAGCATAATTTACCATGAATAAACTCAAATCAATTTTGCTTATAATGAGATAATATTGAGGCTAACAGAGTATTTGAAATTTAAAAATTAATCTTACTAAAACATGGTTTTAATGATTATAAATTGATAATTCAGCTCTACTAACAGGATCAGAAAATATTTTTAACATGTCAAGAAATAAATGTGCTTAAAGGACTTGATAAAAGTGAATCCTGTATATTCTTACAATTCAAACTGATTATTTCCTTTTAAAACCACATGCATGGTTTGAAGCTAAGTTCTCACAATTTTCTTTTTATATAATAAATACTTTTTATAGAAATGTTAGTTTTAGAGTGTATTTCTCAGGTAAATGGAGATAACATTAACTCCCATTAATTAGTGATTCCTATCTGCCGAGAATTGTGCTAGTGCTTTCTATCACTATTTTTATCTTCATAACTTCAATAATCCCTGTAAAAGGAAACCAAGTCTCAAAAATGTTATGGGCTTTGCCTTTAAACACAAAACTGTCACCCAAGAAGGCAATATTCTTCAGTGTAGCATCCTAGCTAATATAAACTATAACCTCAGGGTAGAAAGCAAACACTGCAGGGGCCAGAGATATAGCTCAGCATCATAAGTACCTGCCTGGCAAGCACAAGGTCCTAAGTTTGATTCCCAGTATCGTGAAAAAAACTATTGCAGATGGGTCCAATTCTCCTCTATGAAAGCTGAGATGAGCAGGGTAGCAAGGAATAAAGCACCTTTTCTTTTTTACTAGGGCCCAATAATGGTTGTTCATATGTAGAACATATATTTATTACTCATGATTCTCATGTATATTATTAATAAAGAAACATATGATAAGCATGATACAGATTCATATATTATTCATGATTTTCAGTGAATTTATATTTCCCACAAAAGTGACTCTAGCCAAGATTTTAAAAATCTGTAAGTTTTAAATCAGTGTTACAAGTAAAGCAAAATACTATTTCAAAATATTATTTCATTTTCTTTGTCCTATTTTGGTATCAGGCTATATACATGTTAAATAAAAGCAATTAACAGCTTAGATTTATGAATTAAAAGGCAGGTGCTATATTTACAAAATTAAATCTTTGAAATTATATAACTTCCTGTCAAAGGATTATCAATGATCAAAATTTCCTAATATCTATACTGATTTACCTTTCTATTGTTGGTATAAGAGATGGCGGAGGAGCACCTGGTGGAGGAGGAAAACCTGAAACATTCAATCATAAGACAAAAAATTAACAGAATTTGTATTTAATGCCATAAGTGAAACAAAGTTGTTGCATTATTACTAAATTTCCGAGAGTACATAAACGTGCTTCTCTATGTTATAATGGACAGAAAAATAATGAATCTTAAACTTACAAACACATTTTTAAGAGCAATAAAAAGTTTAATGAACATTCTGGCCTAACACAGAGCACAAACGGGGAGCAGTCAGGACACCCGGTCTTATTTTCAGCACCACACACAGCCCATTTTTTGAGTGTGAAAAAGTTAGTCTCAATGCCTTACCTTTTCCATATAAAAAACAGCAGTAGTATTGCCACCAGGTATGTTTTACTTGAAATATTTTAGAAGAAAAGTGAACAAAGTACCATTTACCTTTTTTAAAAAAAATTTTGGATTTTATTTATTTATTTTGGATTTTATATGTATGGAGATTTCCTTAAAATGTATAATTTATCAATAAAATTTTACCAGTAAATACATATATACTTAAAGCTGAGAACATCTACCATAAAATACATTTTAAATAGCATAACCCCAATGAACTACTTTACAAACAGAGGCTTATGTAGAATTTTGGATTAGTTTGAAGGAAAATAAATCTGTACCCTTTTACCGTGAGATCTGCATTGTCGATAATTTATAATATCTAAATGACATACCACATATGGCTAAAAGGGATCTTATCTAATCTACTCTGCTCTTTCAGATAGGCAATACAGTATTCCAACAAAAGACTTCAAAGAGTCCACACCTCATATGATACCAATTCCTTCCAAGTTTTTAACAACCCTCACTATTAGGAGGTGCACTGAAATTATATAACTTAAGGCTTTCACGCTACAATTCATATGCTGTCCCAGTGAGGACAAGTATTCCACTGTTGTATTCTCTATTACTGGCTACATATTTGAAATTTCTTCCATTAAGCCGCTTTGTTAGCATTCTACATAAAACTGAGTCCAAGTTCCCTACCTCTTCTCAAAGCTCCATTTAAATAAATGTTTAACCCTGTTTCAAACTATTTCAAGTTTATCAGCCTCTTTACCCTGTTGTACGACCTGTAACTCCGATATTAAACAGCAATACAAGCAGGAAATTTAGCAATTACTATATTAGCCCTGAAGTCCACAACCCTAAGTTATACAGCTTCACAACCACATTGCTTTTTAAGTTTAAAAAAAAAAAAAAAATACACCAATTTCTTGGACTTTCCTTTTAAGTCTCTTGCAGCCACATTCACACACAATCCATGATTCTACCACCATATGTAATATGTACACTCTGCTATGTAATTTGAACTTCCCTATTTGTTTATTTAGGTCATTTTGAATTTACACCCACTCTTCCAAGCATGACCACTTTTCACATCCCCTGGCTTTTAATACTGAACTCATTAACACACTTGCTAATATGGTTCGTTACCACACGATAAAAAGTAACAACTGACAAAGATGTAAAAAACAAAACTAAACCACACATAAACCCTTATTACCATGCCATTACAACAACAAACACTTAATCACAACTCTAAGAACAACCACCAGGCCACTCATTAATTTATCCAATTGCTATGTGGTTAAGAACATATTTTCTCATGACCCTGAGTTATGCCAACTGGATTTAAAATTTTTAAGAAAACATGATAAGAATAGGGGCAAATTACTTTTCTCTTATAGTACCCCTTATCAGATAAAAATTCACTGGTCTGAAAAACTTTTTTATAAAAAATTGTTTTATATTCCATTCTCTTTTCTTCACGAATTGGTAAGGTGAGAATTTTCTCAGAATCTCTATTTCCACAGGATGGGTAGGACAGATACAAGAGAACTAAGTATCTTAAAACTGAAATGAAGCAAAGGCAGAGCTGAAAATAGGACCTTGAAATCCCAAAGCCTAGTTGATTCTAACCACATCAACACTGACCCTTCTGTAACTATGAGCTTGAAATTTCATGTTCATTAACAATGATGGAGAAAACATGAAAAAAGTTTTACCTGGAGGTGGTACAGTTATTGGGATACCTAAAAAACAAGTGATGAAATTTAATATAGTAACTGGATTTCAGAACCTGTTATGTATTTATGCCATCACCACAACAAACTTTGAAATAAAACCCCTTGCCTCATTATCCTGGCTCAGTCACTCAAGAGAGAAGCATTCCGTTTTCTTGCAGACCAACAATTCAAATGTAACATCCAACTTCCCTGATGAAACCCAATCAACAACTTGATAACAAAATTTCCCCCACTAGCTGTAATCACAAATGAAGTTAAGACACCAGTTAAAAAGCACACTGTGTACAAATATCAAACTCCATAATATTAATGCCAACTAAGTTTCAAAATCAATGCCTGATCTTGTTTTCTTAATATTTTAATCAGGAAACTTATCTCTGGATTCTTTAGTACTATAGGTAGTACAAGACAATTAAAGATCATGGAATTATTCAATTTTGTAAAGCCTAATATGGGCCTTTAAATATTAAGGTTGTTTGATTACTGTTGTTTGATTAGCGGGAGTAGGGAAATCTTTAATATTTTTCTTCACTTTTAGTAGAAGGGGGTATAGCAAATTCATATATATATATATGTATATATATACATATGTATACATATATATGTGTGCATATATATATATATATATATATATATACATACACACACACACCCCAGGGCACATTAACATAAATATGGATTATTTATTTCTACAAGTGCTACCAAATACTACTTGTACACATTATAAATTTTAGGAAATAATTTTGTATGAACACTGTAAATTTACATTAGCTAAATGTGCCCTTAAATTTATTACTAGAACTAAAACTAAAGTCTGTATTTTAAATTTTAAAGATACATGAAGGGCAAAGTATAACATACAAATTGTTAACTATTTTCAGTTAAATTTAAAACAACTTTCTCATGAAAAATCGTATACCATAAGTCCAATATAGTTGGAACACTAAATTCTATCTTTAAAATTATCAAAATCAGTACAAAGGAGGGGGAAATTTTAATTCATTAGCTAAATGCATGCAAAAAAATGGGAATAATCACTTTCAATGCTGGCAATGGAAACTCACTAACAGTTTAGTTTAAAATGTTCTGACATGCATGTTTTTATCAGAGTAAGCAGTTTATATAAAGACAGCAGATCACCTTATTAACCATGTGATGTAAACACCAATGCAATAAAGCATACCCTAAGCTTACAAACCCAACAAAACCAAAAAAAAAAAATATGTAAAGCAGCCATCGCATTTCAAAAACCATTAGGCTTCCACAAATCTGCCCATCTAATCCACAATTATGGCAATTCTCATCCATCCTGAGGTTAACCTGCTGCTTCCAAACTCACTAAAGGAGTTCAGCAGACAATACAAGCTAAGAGAGACCCAGATTCCAAACTAAACAGGGAAATTAAGAAAGGCAAAGCATTAAATGTTTTTAATATATATTATTATCTAGTTTTCTTTAGAAAGATATATAATCTTTAGAATAGTATTGCTCTTTGGCCTGATTTTCAAATTTAAATACAAGATTTAAAGTTATCTTGTATGTTAACACTATACCAAAATCAGCCACCATCACACTATAATTCTAATAAATCTACCTAAGACATGAGCAGCTTACATCATTTTAGCTAATTCTAATTACAGCTTACCAAAAAATTGTCATGCAAAAAAGCCCTAAGAAATTACTAGCCCCTTCAAAAATACTTAAGCTATAAAACACAAAGATAAAAGATATATCCAAATTAAACACACAATGTTAGTTAAAATTAGTCTGCCTTTTAGTTTTACTATATACCACCATAGGGCAGATTTTCAAATCAACCAGATTTTACCATAAAAAATGTAAAAAACAATGCCATGTGTAGATGTCTTTCCAACTAATATCCATACAACAAAAAGCTGGCATGAGAACTATCATGTCAGTAGAAAGGGCTTTCTAAGAACTTGTTTGGAGCTTCTAGAGAGGAGCACAGCTACTGGTATACCATTGACAGAGGAATGGTCCTCCTCTATCAGGTGTGGTAGTCTTTTTCCACTGAGCATGCAGCTTAGGGAGGAATGCACAAGGAGCATTGAAGGAGGAAGGGGACACCTGCCTAATCAGCCAGATAAGCCAAATCAACCCTGCGATCAATGGAGTGTCCGATGTCACATCTAGATTGCCCTCATTGCCAGGAACTCTTTTCATGACACCTGTTTCATCTAAGATTTTATTTCAATGTCAATCATTATTGATAAAAGTTCAGTGGAACAGGGCTGTAAAATTGAAGAAGCATTATACAATCAAGTCCCTGACAATTCAAGAACATTTTCAAATTACAACTGAGAAAGTTTAATATACGGTACAATGTAAGACCAGTAACACTGAGTAGGAAAAATGACTTTTTCCTAGACAGCCATATTTAACAGTAGTAAAACTAAGATTTCTAATGGTAACAAAAATCTTTTGAAAAGCAGTATTCAAACTTTAACAGGCTGAATAGATTATATACTGAAACTTGAGCCTGCATGAGAACAACATGGAGAATTTAGGCAAAAATTGCTGGTCTGTTTTCTTAGAACTTCTGACTCAGGAGGTCTATGGGAGAAGCACAAATTTCCTAGGATATGACCCATTGCTGGCTTAGGACCTCACTTATAGAATACCTGGATTATTCTAAACTTCTCCCTGAATTTCACTACTACAGCACTCAACAGAAAATAAATGCTTCCTAATATTTAGCAAATGAAAATATCAACATAGGACACTGAATAGTAAAACAGTGTAAGAACCTATACAATCTGGTATTCTCAAAGGGGAAGAGAAAATTTAGTTTTTCTAGTGTATAAAGAAGTATATATGCATTCCTAAGGGTGAAAGGGAACTGGGTAAGGGAAGATGAGAAATTCTACTTAGGGAACTGTGATAAATGAACAGAAAGTTAGCATTCCTGCTAACCACAGGATTTAAAAATTTTCATGTATTAGAAACTTCCTCCAATAAAATAAATTAGTGGTCTCTGTGGTCACAAAAAAACTGAGCAAAGATTATCTATAAACTCATTTTTCAAGTATCCAAAACTTAATTTGTGTAAGTAGGGGAAAAAAAGGATAGGCAACTTCTGGCATGCTCTCAAATGATCTCTGGATCCTGCTATATATGCCTTTGTACACCTCTGCTATTTATGGCCTCCTCTGAGTGTGGGCCGGACATTATATCTGTTTATAACACACAAAACACAGCAAAAATGATAGGATGTCACTTACATGATGAGGTTATAAAAGACAGTGACTTCTATTTTGCTGGTACCCTTTCTACTGCCATCTCAGCTTGCACGCTTTGATGACGTAAACTGCCATGTTGAAGAGGACCACAGCCAGTGCGCCCTCTCAGCCCAACAGCCTAGAAAAAACCAAGTGCTTTTAACAACAATAAAATGAATAAGTTCAGATATGAGTCCTTCCTCAGGCAAACTTTTAGAGACGGCTGAGAGGTCTAAGAGGCACTATGAAGCAAAGAAAGCAGTCAAGCTGTCCTAGATTCCTAAGAAAAACTGTTCAGTGATAACTATGTACTACGTTTAGCTATTATAAGCTAGTGATCTGTGGTGCAGTAACAGAAAGCCAATACTTGTAATTACTTTTAATAAATTTCAGAGAAAACAGTGGCGGAATTTTGTGAATTCTGCTTCCTTTTTTCACTAGTACATTCCAAATCCCATGGGAAGGGAAAAAAAAAAAAAAAAAAAAAAAAGCCTGGTTACTTTCCTTTTAAGTCTCAAAATTTCTACTTCAAAAACATCAACTTAAACGTATGCACAAAAAAACCTGAATACAAAATGTCCACCTACGTAAAAATTTTTAAGTATCACCTTTTATCACAAATGCTATGTATCAAAGTTTTAAAAATTAGGCACAAACACACATACATTACGTCTCACCTACCACTTACCCTTTAAAAAGAATTTTACATTGCTATGAAATGAACACTTTTATGTTTAAAGATCATGTGGCCCTCTAATTTACAAAATGTGTAATCAGTGGAAAATAAAAATTCTATCTTAAAATATCTGATTTGCTAGTATTTTTATAAAGAACATAAAATCATTATCTTTACCAGCTTATATACAATTCAAAATGATTAAAGAATGGTGCAAATCATCAGCAGATACTGAGCTATAATTCTGTTCTACAAACTGCATTATCAATGGTGTATTAAAAATATTACTACAAGGGGAACACCCAGGGTAAAAACATTCAAAATTGGAGTCTTAAAGAATACCCTTAAAAAATGTCATATGGTCTCTAAAACCACATGAAATTTATGTTTAAATAAATTTCAATTATGTCAGAAAATACTACTTATTGCAGATTAGAATTATTCCCTACCTTGAGTTTAATGAAAATGACTGGTCATATTTGTGTGTTTTTAAATATAGAAAAACATCCAAAGAGAAAGTGAATATAGTTCTCAAAGGCTTTAAATATTCCTTTTCATATATACTTAGGGAAAATGTATGCATTTTGGTTATTTTTTGGCAGTACTGGGGATTGAACTGGGGACCCTGTGCTTGCCAGGCAGGCATTTATGCTGTTGAGCTATCTCCCTGGCCCGGAAAATATGCATTTCTGCTAACAGTGCTAACTACTATGAAATAATCTGCCAAGACCAAAACTCTATAACCCAATGGCTCATATTATTTCATACATATCTGTAAACAGCTTCTTGGTAAAACAACAACAACAACAACAACAACAACAACAACAACAACACACACACACACACACACACACACACACACACACACACAAAACTCAAGGATGCTGATACTAGTAATCTAAAGCCAACCAAACTTCTGCCAAAGCAGCAGCTCTTAAAAATTTTATTCAAGGAATCTTGGGAATCTTCAAAGTCAAAACTGCTTTCATAAAAATACTAAAATGCACAGCTTCTTCATGTGTACAGTTCTCCTAAAGCTATTACTATATGACTTGGGTTATATATCATTATATATTTAATGGAGAAACAAA